AACCTTTGTGGTTTGAGTCCTCCTTCAAGGGGTTACCCTGGTAGGAGGAAGTCCACAAGGACCCGCAGCAGGCGATTTGACCTCAAGGTGGTTATCTGAGCCACTTGGTTAGTCCATAACCAGGTAATTTACTTGTAGGTTAGGTGCAGTAGGCTAGGGAGATGGACCCAGCGTCTTCCAGGGTTCTGTTGGTCACGTGGGTGTGCAAATGTGTTTCCTATAGGATCCCCGTGACGGTCATAAAGGAGAGAACTGGCTTTGCCGTGTGGAGGGCTGCATTCAGAACCAAGTACACATGGCTCACATGTAAGTGGGGAAGAGATTAGAAAACCATGTTCTAAAGGTTGTCAGATCGAACCATTCTCTTGGTAAAGTAACAATCACTTTGCATAACCCCTGTGGAGCCTAGCAGCAGCACCGTGCTCCATTGCAGACAACCAAAAAATAACTGTTGGGACCGGGTGTGAAGCCACTTATGGAAAATCAGAGCCTCCTGGATTTCACAGGAGGTGGATTACCTACTGTTTGGGAAATTTAACTCTCCTCTCTGCTTTCTTTTAGACAAAACTACATATTTGTCTTTTGAGAAAGTGCGAGTTCTTACAGTCTTCACTTTCCAGTTTTGCTTTATCTTTGCATCATGCTTTGCAGTGTGTAGACAGGCACAACGGGGGAGATTTCCAGTAAGCTTGCCGGATCATATTTCTTAGATTGAGTCATTACTGAGAAACTTGTTTGTGAACAGGAAGCAGCTTATGAAAATACCTGTACCAAGTAACCTGCCAGGCTGTGAGGAAACTGGACCACTTTCTACTTGAAAGACAAAAGGGCTGGATGGGGGCTGTGTATGTGGTTTGGTGATAGAGTACCTGGCTAGCATGGGACAGTGGTCAAGGCTAGGGAACGAGGTGTGTGATTCTTTGCCCCTGGGAATGGTACATTGGTAATTTCAGTTTTTAAGCTGCTGAATCATTTTTCTGTTGGTGTCTATTTGGGAATTTTTATGTAGTTTAAAAAATTGTAGTTGTTGAAGATGGAGAACATAACCCTTAGTAGGGTTTCTCTAGAAGGTAAACTTGAATTAGTGATACTGTAACTATTAATACTTAAGAGTCTCTGATGATTCATACAAATGGTTGCTAGACCATTTAATTTTTAAACAGTTTGATAGTTAACACAGATAAAAATCTAGCAACATTCCAGTTGGCTTAGATGGCTGTAAGATCCCTTTTGTCTCCAATAGTTATTCTGTATTTTTAATCATTCTGGGGGAGTTTTTGTTGTTGGTGGTGGTTTTCTGGGCTTGCTATGCAGTTCAGGCTGGCCTTGAACTCACTATGTGGCTCAGGCTGGCCTTGAACTCATGGTGATCCTCCTGCCTCAGCCTCCCGAGGGCAGGGATTACAGGTAGGTGCCATCACCCCTGGTGGTTCATTCTGTATTTTTAATCAGCTACTTCACAATTAAGAGTTAGCAGGACCGGGGATTTAGCTCAGTGGTTTCACTGCCTGCTGCGCAAGCACAAGGACCTGAGCTCGATCCCCGGTAACCCCCCCCCCCAAAAAAGTTAGCAAATCAGTCCATTAACACCAGAAGTATATGAGGGTGGGCAGACTATAAAGAATGATCTGTCATACACCTTCGTAAGAATTCTCTGTGAGAAAAGTTGACATTGCATTGTGTACCTTATGCTGCCAATGTCAGCATGTGTTGTAGAGGAGTGATTAGGTAAATATTTATAAAGTACAATAGTTATCAGCAAAATGTATTTTAAAAACACCTGCTTGGTCTCATTTAGTAAACATTCTGACTGCAAAGTAGAACATTGTAAATCAAGGAAATCTTGTTTGCTGTCTAATGAATTCTTCAAAATTCAGGCATGCCCTCAGTTATTTTTGTAGCTGCATATAGTCCTCACTGTCTTAATTAATATCTTCCTATAGCTCTTAATTGATATCATCTGGACAGTAGAATACGATTCATGTTCTGTCTGGTTTTGTTCAGAAATATTTGGCAGTGTTTATGAAATAAAATACTGAATCAGATTTAAGTTTCAGGCGAATAACAACCTGGGAATAGTATAAAGAACGAAATGAAAGAAAAACATGAGATATAACTTAAATTCTGAATTTTTTAGTAACTAATAGTTGGATGAAAGAGCGATCTTGGGATAATCTTGAAGATTCATTTTTTTCTTAATGGAAATGTATGAGTTAAGAAAGAATAACTTAAGATGCTGTCTCATCCTATTGGAAGCAACAGTTTTGATTTTGCTAAGTAATATGTACAACTTATTAAAGAGGTTTATTAGCTTTATTTATTTATTTATTTTGGGGGGGTTACTGGGGATCAAACTTGGGTCCTTGTGCTTGCGAGGCAGGCAGTGGAACCACTGAGCTAAATCCCCAGCCCCGGTAATTTATTCTTGGAGGAAAACCTACCACCTTTCTGTCCATTCTCAGAAGGAAAGGGGTTTGGGAGGTGCAAGCCTCATTTACACACATATGTAAAAGATACCATTTTATTTTTCATTTCAAATACAATATAAAATCTCCATTTATTGACTAGCTTTAATTTAAAGCAGGAACCATGTTATCTTTATTTTTTTCTGGGGGCCCGGGGATTTAGCTCAGTGGTTTCGCCACCTGCTGCGCAAGCTTAAGGACCCGAGTTTGATCCCCGGTACCAAAAAAACCCCAAAAAACCTGTAGATCTTTATTTTTTTCTGATTGTTTAGGATCATCTCAGCAAAATAAATACTGGTTTGTTCAAAGTACTAAAATTGGCTTGCAAAAAACGTATTTATTATGGATTCTGTGTTCACGGCCTTTCTTGTTTATTCCAGTACAAAGATGTTTGTTTTAAAGTAGCATGAGTTAATTGTCCAACCTCAGATTTCCCACAAAACCTGTGACAGATTACCCAGATGGCAAATGATGATCTATACATTTTAAAACATGAACATTTCCATTAGACCAGATGGTTATTGAACATGAATTGTCCAACATTTGTGTTTCTTACTAAATTGTCTTCTTTTGTGTAAGCCAAGCTTGTAACATAATTTGGAACACACTTGAAATTATTAAAGGCCGAAAACAAACAAAAAATTCAGACCCTAAGTGCCAAACAACATTTGTTCCATATGCTGCAAGAAGGCTCACTGCCAACACTTGTGTGTCCTTAGGAAACTGTTTCACTAGTTGACAGGAAATACCTGTTGGCATGTTGGAAACCATCCCCTGCTTTCTTGTAATTCCCCAAATTCAGCCACGTTGTGCACTGTGGCTGTTTTCCTGGGGGACTTGGAGGCATCCAGACAGCTGCTTTTCTTCAAAGCCTGAGATTTCTACGCAGAGGAGCAGTTTGCTAAGGCACTTCTCTTCCCTGCTGTCTGGTGTCATGTTCTTGTTTGTTATGGGTTCTCCCCTGTTACTACTTCCTCTGAGATGGTGTGCAGCTTTGCAGAGAGATGATGTGTGGAGTAAGTCATGCGCTCAGTCACATGCTGCTCACAGGAAGTGCTCACTGCCTGTTTGGTCAGCACAGAACACAGCAGTTTGCCTGTGGCCTCCCAGTCAGCATCTGGTGTTAGAGGCTTCTGCTATTCTTTTTTAACATGATGCTTTGAATATTTCATACAACATCAAATCTCTGCTAGCATTTGCCTTTTGAAATGTGAGAAAATCTTAAGTGACACAGTATGATATATTAAGGCCACGACAAGAAAACTATTGTTGCTGTATTCTAAATTTGATTAAAAGGTGTTTTTAAGAATTCAAAGAACAAGGGCCAGGGATTTAGCTCAGTGGTTTCGCTGCCTGCTGTGCAAGCGCAAGGACCCAAGTTCGATCCCCGGTACCAAAAAAAAAAAAAAGAATTCAAAGACATTTTGAAACCTATGTTGGTGTCATTTTGATTACATGGAATGCTTCCAGCCTGATGAAGAACAATTAGACGTTGTCACTTTTGAAATACTTTTTGGTGGCCTTCCTAGTGGAAATGGAAAGCTAGAGTTGTGGGAGCCACTCACATCTCCAAGGGCCTAGCATTGGTTCAGATTGAGGGTGCTCTAGAGCTGACCTAAGAGTCCTTTCTTTTATTTTTTCCTGTTTGTTGATAAGGATTCACAAGCTGTCCTTTCCTGGTCTTGTTATGCGAAGTTTAAAACAACACTGGCTTGGAGAGTGCACTGAAAGGTAGTCACAGCAGGAGCCGAGTGGCTACCGAATGAGTACTGTGTGTGGAAAGTGTATGTAAATGTATACGGGGTACCCACTGCTCTCAACACCATGGCCACCAAGATTATTCACCAAAATTAGGTCCGTAAATTTGCTTTTTATTAAGGTGTCTCAGTCTTTTTTTTTTTTTAACAACACATTGCCCATGGCTAATAAATTTAAAAATTTCAGATCTACCCTGAGGAAGGACCAAGCAGCTTCACTGCTTCAATGACACAGTGATTTGGGGAAAAGTTGATTAGTCCATTCTTTCTGTCTAGATAATTCCAGTGTTATTTTAGGCTTCCTACTAGTTAGATTCACAGCTTTATTGTCCAGTGGTCTGGAGTTTGGTCTCACCCATAGTAAGTAGCCCACTTCTGTCAACATATAAAACATTTGCATATTTTATATGTATGGTGAGATCTTTTTCATGTCTCATTTGATCATCAGCTGTAAACTGGGGTAGGCTGGAATCATTAAAATGTATAGCTAAAACCATCTTAAGCTCTCCGATGTCATTTGGTAGGAAGGGAAAGGGGGGAAAATAACAAGTCAACTCTTGCTGAAATTGCCACTGATAACTTTAATCAATCCCATTAGAGATTTTCCTTTAGTGAGTAGATTCACGGAATGGCATTAATGGTGCTCTTTGTAACATTGGACCTGTGTTCTCTGTCAGATTTGCTTTGTAATCTCCTCAGTCGTCAACAATGGCATACTGTGAATTAAACTATCCTGGACTATCTTAACCACGACCTTCCTTTTTTGTTTTAAATACAGGACATGGATTTGATTGACATACTCTGGAGGCAAGATATTGATCTTGGGGCAAGTCGAGAAGTATTTGACTTCAGTCAGCGACAGAAGGAGTATGAGCTGGAGAAACAGAAAAAACTTGAAAAGGAAAGACAAGAACAACTCCAAAAGGAGCAAGAGAAAGCCTTTTTTGCTCAGTTGCAACTAGATGAAGAGACAGGTGAATTCCTCCCAATTCAGCCAGCCCAGCATATCCAGCCAGAAACCAGTGGATCTGCCGACTACTCCCAGGTATGGAATCCTTAGTTCTTTAGAAAGTGTATGGCAGGGTTTAAGGAGACACTAACCAAGAATTAGAATATCTAAAGTTCCAGCTCTGCCTTTTACTGTGTCCAAGTTAGCTTCCCAACCTCAGCCTCCTGGTAACTTCTATACCCAACCTACTTACCTTTCAGGATTATTATAAAGATTAGGACATAAATCACTTTAAAAGGCCTTGTAAATTACAGAAACATACAGTTAGGATCAAACAGAAGTACTGGTAGTAGTAAAACTAGTAGTGGGCACTGCTTACAATATTGTTTTCGGCACTGTTCTAATTATATATATTAACTGATTTAGTCAGCATTGCTGTGTAAGTTAGGCACCATTATTCCTCTTTTATCCACAGATGGGCAACTGATCACTCAATGTTAATTTGCCCAGATAACTGGGGAGGGCAGGGAGTGTAGCTCAGTGGTACAGCACCTGCCTAATGTATGAGGTCCCAAGTTTAATTCCTAGCACTGCAAGGAAAAGGAAAAAAAAACACATTGGAGGCAGCCTGGTTTGAGTCTGAGCAACTCAAACTTGATTTCTGAAATAAGAAAAATAATATATTATTCTGTGAACATTAATCATAAATCTTACCTCAATCATGAATCATTAGCTTGGCACTGGAACATTTAACAATTTTTTCTTCCTTTATGCCTTTCCCCTTTAATCCAGGTTGCCCACATTCCCAAACCAGATGCCTTGTACTTTGATGACTGCATGCAGCTTTTGGCAGAGACATTCCCATTGGTAGATGACGATGAGGTATAAAACATTTGGCTAATAGCCAAACTTCTTAACTACACTGAACATATCCTATATAAATCGCTTTAATGTGTCTCCATTTAAAACAAAGAATAAAACATTTTAGAAGGAAAATTTTTATCAAGGAAATATTCTCTCAAGGCCACCTTAGGTAATACTTTACAATTTTTTTTTAAACCTTCACGATATAAAATCACACACCTTTCCTATTACATAGCTGTGGATTAGCACAGCTGGAAATAACTTGTTTGTTATGGGTATGTAAAAATTTCTGGTAAGAGCAATCTGAGTAAGAAGCCAAGACTTGTTAACAATTTAAATGAATCTGTTGTATTTGAAGTACTGTCCTAGATATTATGGGTATAAATTAACTCCTAAGGATTGCTCTTATCCATCTTCAAATAAGTGGAGAAATACAGAACTTGCTCCCAATTCTACTTAAGTGTAATGATTGTGTTTTGGAGCATCCTTATCCACTGTTGATTTATGCTGTGTCAATTTTAGGTTTCTTCACCAACATTTCAGTCTCTTGTTCCCGATATTCCCAACCACATCGAAAGCCCAGTCTTCACTGCTCCTAATCAGAGTCAGTCACCTGAAACTCCTCTTGAGATAGCCATGGGTGACATAGACAATACACAGCAAGACATTGAGGAGATTTGGCAGGAGCTGTTTTCCATTCCAGAATTACAGGTAAGATCTAACACAGTACTCCAGTGCCATTTTATATTCAGTGGCTTTAAATTAGTCATTCTGATTATTTATTATTTATATGCCATCTACTTATAAGAAGGATTTAAGGGTGCTTTTAAATTAGTCATGAGAGCACCCGGGGCTTGCTAACATGCACTTTTATGAGTAAACTGGGCTAGATATTTGAGGATAGACCTATTATAAACTTCAGGTCTGAACTAGGACCTCTGAAAATAATACAGGTGCTTAGTAATGGAAATTATCTCTGAACCATAGAATACCCTCGAAGAGAGTGGGGTGGGGAAAGTTTCCAATAGATAATGGATTATCAGCTATTAAAAATACTTAACCTTGATTCATACAGTATAAACTTCTTTTCCACACAGTGTCTTAATATTGAAAATGACAAGCTGGTGGAGACTACCATGGTTCCAAGCCCAGAATCCAAACTGACAGAAATTGACAACAGTTACTTCTACTCGTCAGTCCCCTCACTGGAAAAAGTAGTAGGAAGCTGCAGTCCAGAGTTTCTTAATGCTTTTGAGGATTCTTTCAGCAGCATCCTCTCCACAGAAGATCCCAACCAATTGACAGTGAACTCATTAAATTCAAATTCCACATTAAGCACAGATTTTGGTGATGAATTTTATTCTGCTTTCATAGCAGAACCTAGTATCAGCAACAGCATGCCCTCCTCTGCTACTGTAAGCCAGTCCTTCTCTGAACTTTTATATGGGCCCATTGATGTTTCTGATCTATCACTTTGTAAAGCTTTCAACAAAAACCACTCTGAAAGCACAGCAGAATTCAATGACTCTGATTCTGGCATTTCACTGAACACAAGTCCCAGCATAGCATCACCAGAACACTCAGTAGCTTCTTCCATCTATGGAGACCCACCACCTGGCTTCAGTGATTCGGAAATGGAAGAGCTAGATAGTGCACCTGGAAGTGTTGAACCTAATGGTCCCAAAACACAGCCAGTATATTCTTCTGGGGATACCGTGCAACCTCTGTCACCATCTCGAGGGCACAGTGCTCCCGTGCATGATGCTCAGTGTGAAGACACACCAAAGAAAGAATTGCCTGTAAGTCCTGGTCATCGAAAAACCCCATTCACAAAAGACAAACATTCAAGCCGCCTGGAGGCTCATCTCACCAGAGATGAGCTTAGGGCAAAAGCTCTCCATATCCCATTCCCTGTAGAAAAAATCATTAACCTCCCTGTTGATGACTTCAATGAAATGATGTCCAAGGAGCAATTCAGTGAAGCTCAAGTTGCACTAATTCGAGATATACGTAGGAGGGGTAAGAATAAAGTAGCAGCTCAGAATTGCAGAAAAAGAAAACTGGAAAATATAGTAGAACTTGAGCAAGATTTAGGTCACTTAAAAGATGAAAAAGAAAAATTACTCAGAGAAAAAGGAGAAAATGACAAAAGCCTCCATCAACTGAAAAAACAACTCAGCACCTTGTATCTCGAAGTCTTCAGCATGCTACGTGATGAAGATGGACAACCTTATTCTCCTAGTGAATACTCCCTGCAGCAAACGAGAGATGGGAATGTATTCCTTGTTCCCAAAAGTAAGAGGGCAGATGTTAAGAAAAACTAGATTTGGGAAGATTTGCCTTTTCTGAGCTATTTTTGTTTTTTGTACTGTTATACTAAAAGCTCCTACTATGATGTGAAATGCAAGAAAGTATGCATAAATAATGCATAAGTAATTCTATGCAAAAATTATAGCCAAAACTAGTATAGAAAATAAGAAACATTAAAAAGCATTAAAATATCAGTACGTTGAATCAGTAGTTTAAGGTATTTGGGCTTGTTTCTGTGTAAGTGTAAATACTACAAAGTTTCTTATTTATACTGTTCTTATCTCATTTGTTACATTCATAGATTTATATGATGATAACAACATCTGGCTAGAAACAAATTGATGGAAAACTAACCACTATGTACTTTTTTTATAAATACTGTATGAACAAAAAATTGCATTTTTTATATTAAATTGCTTAGTTCTGGGAAAAAATGTAAGAGCTGGTACTAATAAAGGAATATTATGACACATTTCTTCAGATTGAGTTTATTCATGACAGTATTTTCAGACAGTCATCCATTTTTGTATTTTCAGTTTCAAATTTTAAAAGCATTTTATACTAAATATAAGGTCCTAGGGTCCTAGAAAAATGTTATCAAGAAATAACTTCTTGGGGCGCAAGGTCCCGAGTTCAATCCCTGGTACCAAAAAAAAAAAAAAGAAGTAACTTCTTCAGCAAGTATAGTACATCTCAACCAAAGAAAATGTTTGCACATTGACATGAAAACATTGGTTCATTTAGATCAACAGAAGGGGATATACTATATGCCAGGCATTTCTTTTTCAATTATAAAAACCAAAAAGATCTCTGTCCACCCAGAACTTGCATTGCAGTGAAGGGATGGGTGCTGGCCCTAGTCAAATATTCCTATAATCCCAGCGGCTCAGAAGGCTGAGGCAAGGGGATCAGGGTCAACATGGCCTTAAGGCTGGGAAGGTAGCTTAGTGATAAGAGTACTGACCTAGTGTGTGCATGCCCCATGATTAAAAAAAAAAAAAAAGACAGGGAAGACCTTAAGCAGCACTGTAACAAAGTAAGAGTTATAAACAGGAAGCCATATTGGCATTGCTGCATTTGAAGGTGTGGGACAGCGAGCCTTTGCGAAAACTAAGAGCCCCACAGACAGGACACAGAAGGCCAAAGGAGCCTGTTTTTGATGAAAAGGACAATGTGGTTGGAGACAATAGGGGAAGAACAAAGCCAGGGAGGGAATGGTGGGGTGAGGCACAGCACAAAACCATGTAAGCTTTCAGGAATTCACTCCTTGTCACGTTAAATAGGAGGGCCACCAGTTTTAGAAAGGTCCCTATAGTTTGAATGTTGAGTTTAGAGAGCAAGGGTGGGGAGTAGGGAAAGTGGGAGTTTGATGTGTTTATGATAGTGGTTTGGACTACAGCAATGATGGAAAGTATCTGGATTCGACATCTTAAAAGTAGCTAAAAGGACACAGAAGAATTGAATTGCCAGGAATGGAAAAGACAAGAAGTGGTGTGAAAATCAGTTCATATTTGGACATGTTGAAAATGTAGACATGTTGAGGGGAACCAAAACAAGGCCCCTCAAAAAAACCTTTTGAAAATGTGCTAACAAACCACGCATTCACTTTCATCTAAGCAACTGTAGTGTTTAGCCTTTTGAATTGGAAAGTGGAGATTCATTTGACTATGTTTAAAATAGGTACCACGGGGCCAGGGTCGGTCAGGGCTGGGGACGCAGCTCAGTGGCACCACGCCTGCCTGGCCAGTGCAAGGTCCTGAGTTCAATCCCAGGTAATTAAAAAAAGAAAAAAAAAAAAAGCCAAAATAGGTACCACATACAAGTAATTCACTTTCAAGGGCTCCGTCCATCCACTAGATGCAATATAGTATATAGTGGTCTGTCCACCAGCCCTGGAAGCAGACTGAATTTGCTGCTGTCAATTCCTAGAATGCCTTTCATCAATTGACTTCAGCATTCAGTCTCATTTCCTGACTGTAAAGTGGAGTTAAGTGCTAGTTCAGTGAGCTCATTATAAATGCCCCCTATTTTCTTTGGTCTTATATTGATGCTTTTAAGTAAAATCAACCTAGGTCAGTAAGAAAATTTGACTCAGATGGCTGAAAAGCTCAGGGTTGAAAATTACTTCAAGGACCAGAGCCTGGGATTCAAATGTGAAAATGCTTTGTATCTGGACTATCTCATGCTGTCAAGGAATTTTCCAGTAACAGTGGTAGTGATGACTGATGAAAGTGTCCCTGGAGGAGACATCATTTTTGCAACCTCAAAACATAATCTCACGTTTTAAGTATAAATCCTTAGTCAAAATTGAGGGTGCTGCCCCACCCAGAGGAACTGGAAGTGGTAGAGGAAGAGCACCGTTGGGGTGCAGTATATTCTTTATTCATCTGAATCTTGCAGAAGCTCAACTTTTCAGCACTGTGTACACTTAAATTTTTAAACAAAAACCTCTAGCATACTCATAACAAAAGCAGTTTCACCTTCCTTGATCGACATTTCAACACTTGATCTTAGCCAAAAATCTTTTTTTTTTTGGTACTGGGAATCAAACTCGGGTCCTTGTACTCATGAGGCACGCAGCAGAACCACTGAGCTAAATTCCCAGCCCAAATGGCCCAAAACCAATTTGATCTACATTTCGATTTAGCTTTATAGCTGACTGTGTCCTCAGGCCAACCTGACCGTTCAACTTTTAATTTTACTTGAACAGAGTTTAGTTCTGCAGTCTAACAATGTATAACCTGACCTATCAATGCCAAGCATTATGAGAAAGCTTAATTGCATTAATACTGAGTATAAAGCCTACTTTCTGGCTTTCTCAAGCCCTTTTTGGAGTAGGGGTTCTCAAATGCTATCTGCCACCCCTTTATCCATGTGACCAGGCCTCAGAACACATTCAACTATCCTTCCTATTTAAGAAATACATCAGTCGGGTGTGGGTGCATGCCTCTAACCTCAGCACTGGGGAGGCTGAGGCACGACTGCCATGAGTTGAGGCCAGCCTGGGCTGCATATTGAGTTTAAGGCCAGGCTGAACTACACAGCAAGACCCTGTCTCACAAAATTAAAAGAAAAGCTGTCAGTCGTTTCCAGTACATATGATTTACTACTACTGGAGAACGGAATAAAAAAATGACTATTAAAAAAAAAGTCTATAAAAATCTCAAATTGAGGTGGGAGGTTTAGCTCAATGATTCCACCGCCTGGCCCCCTAAGTGCAAGGACCCAAGTTCAATCCCCGGTATTAAAAAAAAAAAGGAAAAAAATCCCAAATCTAGTCATCCAATAAAAAACTTTTAGGTACAGTGACAATTACCAAAAGCTCTTTAAGTGCATTTTCACACTAAACCTTCAAATTTTAAAGTGGCTATTGTCTCCACTTTATATAAAAGGAAATGGATGGGCCAGGAATTTAGCTCAGTGGTTCCGCCGCCTGCCTCCCAAGCGCAAGGATCCGAGTTTGATCCCCAGTACCAAAAAAAAAAAAAAAAGGAAACGGTTTTCAAAAAGTTCTTAGCCTGGACAAACTTAGATCCTAGGATTTTGGAGTTTTTCCTTCCGTTAAATGAAACACAGCACTTCCTTCAGTATTCTTGGTAACAAACCACAATAGTATTCTTTTTATTAGTTCAAAACAGCATTTGTGAGAAACTTCAAAAAGACCTTTTATTGTATGTAGCACGTATTACTGTGACACTTAGTATTCAATGTATTTATACACATAAACATTTTAAAGGGTTCGTTGGAATTCTCAAACTGCATAAAGGAGCACAAGATTATAGACCCCCATCCAACTCACACCAAGCTCACTACTACTCTGAATTTCAATTTGATAGGCAAATTTTCAATCAAAGCCATTTTTCAGGCCTTATGAAATGGCGGACAGCTTAGATGTTCAAGTAAACCCATCAGAATGTTGACGTCTTAAAGGATGAAAGCTTTCACACTTTGACAAAGGACATAGAATACAGTGTATCCATAAGTGAAAACTACCTCTCCTACAACTTCCACATATAGCAAATTAACACAATAGGGAATTCCTTTTATCTCAATACAAGCCCTTCAACTATTACAGTAAATGTTAAGGGCCATTTAATGTAGTTTAAGTCATTTCCTTTTAAAGCAGTCAACACCCTGGATAACTTGATTGGCTATTTACCACTAAATTCTGTAACTTTGATCACATGGGCAAATTTCTAATTCCTGGGCAGCTTTCAGACCTGTGCCCATTTCTTTTTGTTAATGGGCAGCTCCACGCACCCTTGCCATCCATCTGCTGTTAAAAGTCTGAAACTGTGATAAGCAGATATGGAATATTACTTCCTCCAAACGTCAGCATTGTGTATTTAATCCCAACTTAAATCAACCCAATGTATAATGGTCTCATTTTTGCAAAAGTGATCTTCAGAAAACTTAATGGTTGTGATGGGTACATAGAAGGTTCAAATTTTCCAGAAAACTTAATGGCTGTGATGCACACACAGAAGATTCAAATTTTATCTTGATTCCTGAAATTTTGCAGTTTAACAACTTATTTTCAACCTGAGAAAATAAAGGTAAATACATTTGTTGGAAACGAACCTTTCTCAGGACAATAGTAAACTGAAATTATAAGGTACACAATTACTTAAAACTGCTCAGGATGAAACCTTTGGACTGAGAAACCCGTTATGAACACACACAAAATGTCTCACCACCCTGTTATCAATCCTCCTCAAGCACATCACTTAGAAATAACCAGGCTTGCTGGTGCACTGTAACTCTCAAGACTCAGGAGGCAAAGACAGGATTGCAGCTTGAGGCCAGCCTGAATTACACAGCTAGACAGGGTCCCCCTCCCCATTTATATGTGGAAGAGCTATTAAAGCTAGAAATACAAACATGCAATGCCTTAATTAGTTGTAACTTACCAGATGACTATCAGGTCTTCTCACTTGGGATAATCCTTGGGCACACTAATCTCAGAACCTTCTTTTAATTCACCCTCACTGTAAAACATTTTCAACCAATGCACTGGCTCTCAAGAAATCACTATATGAAGCTTCCCTCTTTTGTTTTTCCCTTCTCCCCCAGAAAACAGCTAACTCCACACATGTACCACCCAACTATTTTCATGTATTTCTGTCCTTGGGACCAGTGTCCTTTCAAATACTAAGTGGCAATAGATTTAACTTTGAAAAATACTTTATATACCTACTTCCGAGTTTTGTTTTCCACTTAATAGATCCTACATATTTTAAAGTAACTATAAATGCTCACTCCAAATTTCCTGTTTCCTTACTAAAGTTGTAACATTCAAGTATAGGACTTAAATGATAACATTGTTGAGTGACAAAACAACACACACATTTCTAAAAATATTTTAATGAAAAAGTCATCTTTCTGTAAACATTTCATTATACCACAAATGAAACATTCGAATCCATTACAGATCACCTCTGAAAATCAGAAAACATTGAAGCTTTAAAATTTTGATTATTCAGACAGGCTAACAATCCTTGCATTACCCCTGCACATTAGCATGCTTTATTCACTACTTTGTGACATTACTCAAACTCCCAAGAGAAATATTTCAAATTTTGACTTATACTGAACTCTTAATAACCATACCTATTTCTATTAGTCCCCTGACAAATGCAGTTTATTTTACCACACATATTCTCTCCTTTAGAACACAAGTGTAAAGTCAACTTTTTTAAATGTATTAACTGGAAGCAGTGTGACCTACAAGTTTAAAACCAGCTTAAATTTTCCTCAAGCATTTCCAACTTTCCTTATTGGTGCTACCACTGAAGAGAACATTTTCCAGAAATGACAACAAAACTACATTCAAATAAAATAACTTTATTTCACAAGTGAAATGAAATAGAACGCCCTTAAAAGAAAAAATGTTTCCTGTCCTACGAAAATTCATTAAAACCTTGATGTTTTAAAGGCTGTTGCCTTACTAATAATTCTGTGTAGAAACTGTGATTTAGTCAACCTGTTTTACAGAAACTAGTACTTTGCCCCTTAAATGTTATTTTATTTAAAAAGTGAATTAAACCTCAATTTTAATATGCCCTTTTGGGGCAGCAAAAATAGCCCTTATTAATAATCAGCAACTGATATGAATAGTAACCAAGTAATTCTTTGGGAAAGATACCCTTTTATAAAGGACCATTAGTGTAATCAGGCCCCTACTGCTTCTGGTTAAGATTAACCAAAATGAACAAAACCAAAATTCATCCCATCAGTCCAAATTCCCTGAATTTGTGAAAGCTTATGAGGCCACGTGAATGAAGACACGTTTGTATCTGTAAGATGTAGTTATTATGTTAAGTTCATCTGAAGATGTTTTTCCTAGTACAACTGGCAGCGTAACATGTTCTAAGTCACGTTTATGACAAAAACTGTTCACAAAGTTGAGGTTACTTTCCCTTACCAAAAATCGACTCTACCCTAAAAACACTGAATTCTATACATGAAGAAAATGGACTACATGTGACTCAAGTAGAACACTCAGGGATGGCCATTCTTGGGGATTTAAAAAAATTGCATCAAACACGGTACCACTGTGGTTTTCAGCTTGGTAATTTTCCCAATGTACCTACTGGAGAGGGACTCATGTTTTAAAGTATGTAATATAGATTTATATGGAAATAAATGGCGTCAAGTTTTACTGTGAGCTACAAACCTTACCCAGCCAGAAACCTTCGTATTTAAGATGGTAGGAAAGACATTCCTCATTTAGGCAAGTAGGGTTCTCATTCAACCTGCAAATCAAAAAGATTACTCTTACCTTGCTTTACAAAAAATTACTCTTTAATTAGAGAAAAAATTCAAATTCAAGCCTTACCTAATGCTTATTGCCCTTCCTTGCAGGTCTAAATGCTAGACCTAGCAACTGTGGCAACTATCTCTCATTGATGTTCCAAAAGGCGAAGAGCTCCTTCCTGCTACTTTCTTCGATATTTCAGTTGTAATAAGCAGATTTAACTAGCTTTTGACAAGTTGCTCACTATCATCATAGTATCTTATGCTTTTTCTCTGTAGTTGAAGCTCTTGCTGCTGCCTTGTCATTCTTTTTTATGCTGACTTGTCCATACTCAAAAGGCTGCTGAAGTCCTGTCTTAGTGAGTTTCCTTTGATCCACACTGTGCTTTAAAAAGCACATCTTAGGTCCTTTAAAGCTGGTTAAATCGCTCTCCTCATGGCTTACTTTTCCACACTGTTCACACAAACTAAGCTAATACAACTTATAAACAGGTTACATACACAGGTTTCACCTGCTTATAGGTTGCAAACATCAACTTACTGAAAATATTTTTACTATTAGTTCCAGAACATAGAAAGTTGGTTATAACAGTACAATTAACCTCATATGCCATTAAAGGATACTGTCAAGGTTGTGTCAGACAATTTCACAAACAGAAACAAAAAATGTTAATTTCCCCCTCTATTCCCCTTCAACCTTTATTATATCAATAAAAGAACTTGAGACAATTTAGCTCAATTTTAATGTTTCCCAAGGAGTATTTTGACCAGGTACCCAAGGTTTAAATTATGAACATTGACAGTGTCCATTTATATAACCACACTTTTAGTTATTAAGGACTTAACCATTTTCTAATATTAGCCTATTTTCTACACTGCTTATTCACATATGCCCATTGACAAATGGAATGTTGTCTGTTACATTTATTGGTTTGTGAGTGTTTTCTGGAAAACTGCAGTATCTGTGAAGACCGATTTCCATGCTGGCATTGCATGCATCCAAGTATTAATAATGCACAGAGGCACAGAATTAGAGCAACAAGAGAGCATATTCAAACACTAGCACACCCCATTCCCCTTTTTATTGCTTGTTTTGCTTAGTACTTTTAAAACCAAATAAAAATCTTGAATTCAATGTTCAACTGCCAAAGAAAAAGTAACAGCAGGGCACATACTTAGGGCTTGAATGAAATTGTAAGCACTAGCTGGCGCAGAACAGTAGACATTGATTTTTATATATGACCTTAAAATCTAACTCTTCTCAAGCAGGGTCTTCCAAACAAATTGACAACTCACACCAACATGATTTAGGTTAAAATATACACAAGGAATAACACAATGTGTTCTTTGGGAATTTTAAGAACTTGAAGATTATCCAGATTTGAATTCAGGTCTTTGGGAAGTGAGATGCTTGTAACTAAGCAACTGTGCTACATTTCGGCTGCATTAAATTGACTTGAAAAATTACATCTAAAACTATCCTTGGTTTCATTTAGCAAAACCTATAGGGTAAAAACAGGAGAAAGTATGCCAGCCAGTTAGGGGTTCAACAATGTATGATTTTTATTCTCTTGCTCTGAAAGCTTGTATTGGGGGGAAGAAAAAAAGGTAAATAACTCAAGATTTTAAAACAGGGCCTCTTGTGTGCTTTTAAAAAATAAACAAAACCAAGTATCCACTAATTTGCTCAGACATAGCAGGCTTAGTGGTCCTGTATCTCAAAAATGTTAATGGTTTTTAATGTGGGAGAGGGAAAACATCTACTACCCTTTTCCAGAATTTAAATACAGGGCAGTAGACATTTCTTTACACCCAAAAATTATGGCAGCAGTTTAAATGTGACCAAAGTAAATGCAGAATGGAGATGTTTTAAACAAAGCTAGGACTCAGCAAATCTAACACACTAAAATCATGATTACATATTGAAAGAAAATGCACAAAAACCAGTGAGAATTTTGAGATTTTTCATTTGAAAGTAATCTTAATGCTATTAAATTCACAAATATGCTAATTTAAATACCCAATCCTATTTTATCTAAAACACACATTGCAAACATACAAATATCTATTCTCTCCACATGTCAGTGCCCATTTGTATCATGG